CCCGCGGCTTCACTCGCGTTGAAGCTCTTAAATAAATATTTTTCTTTAAAATAAATTGCAATTAAAAAAAATTGCCTATGTCCTTTTTCAGACTCTAGACTATCTGTGTACCAAATTTCATTTAAATCGTTTCAGTAGTTTTAGCATCAAAGCGAGACAGACAGAAAGAGTTACATTCGCATTTATGATGTTAGTATGGATAGTAAGGATTAATCGTTGTCAATTTTTTTCAATTAACTGTTACACCCGAGGGTTTGCAGATGCGTTGATAACCTTTTTGGAAATTGAAGAAGAAGAAGAAGAAGAAACGTTTAAACGTTTATAAATAATTGGGCTCCGGCTACCTCACTCACCAGACGAAACGCGAAAGAATTTGTCAAACTTCCACTTTACGCCGGTCTTCTGTGAGGTTGTGGTACTTACCCGGACGAGCCTGCCCATTCGTGCAACCACCGTGGCTCTACCACCGTTAAAGTAGAACGAAGTAATAGAACGAATTCTCGAGTGATAGCCTCGTATTGGCCGTCGCAGTGTAGAGCGACCCCCCACTAGCTCTAGTAAAGACCTGTGCAAAATGGGGAGTCGATGGATGCAAGTGTCTCAGGATCATGCTTTAATGGCAGTTGTGGGGGGAGGGGGTCCATGTCCAACAGTGGACTGAAATAAGCTGAAATGGTGGTGATATATAAATGGTGATGACATATATGGTGATGACATATATGGTGATGACATATATGGTGGTATACTGTATAACCAAAGGTTCCAGTTAAACCTAATTCTCATTATAAAGGTATGAGGGCAGAGTCTACTACTGTCCCTCTGAGGTTTTTAGATTGGATACAAATGCGACCGCCCCGTTACTGCTTTTAAAATAATGATGTCAAGAAAAATTTCAAACTGCTATTTAATAGCAGGAATAAACGCGTATTTATACGGAAACATAATTTTTCAATGTCAGTTAATTATAAAACATAAAAATATGCGAAGAGATCAATTTTTGTGTCGCGTACTAGCTAAGGCGAATGATAAAAAATACTTGTTTCTCCAAATCATCGTGTTAAAGACATTACTGCAAGTTCAATGACACCTATCACACAAAATGGAAAAGTTGTCCGACAACATAATCATAATGTGCTAATATTATTAAGATTTTTTATAACATATTCACAAAATTATTATTTGAACCGTTTGTCACAATCTATATCAGTACAAATCTAATTTATTTACCGTTCCGTAAAGTGCTTTCGATGGCATTTATTGACGAGAAAAGATCACAAGAAGAGCAAATGTAACTATTAATTGTTGTGTCTCCATCATTTAGAGCACGTTAAGAAGACACCAAGATTTATTCCAATTCTCGTTTCCTTTTTATAAAAAGATACATGATGCGTATAAATCGTGAATTTACTACAAAATGACAAGAAACGATGGCGCTCAACCCGTTGCTAATCTACCCTTCTACAGCACGGTCTACTAAATAGAGTAGTAAATAAAAATATAGACACTAAAGACGGCAAAGTACAAAAAAAGCTTATTTCACAGGGAAATAGCGCGAAGCTCCGAATGAGGCGTTGACGAGACTATTTTTCGCCAGTTCAAGCGTAAATAGTTTTAAAGTCGAATCGCATATCAAAAATGTACGTTATTATTACAATCTATATTTAGTTTACACTGGAAAGAATAATTAAATAACTTTTTGCGGTAAGCATGGCTACGGAAAGTCTGTGAAATGTCTGCAATTAAAGATAAAAATAAACACCAGAAAGTCCATAAAAAGGTGTTCTTTAAGAATGTATTCCTAAGTAATGTTCGCGCGAATATAATAAATTACTAAACAGTCCAGATATTAAAATATGTAGAAAAATTGTAATTTATATGTTTTAAAGAATTTAACAAAAGAATACGCGGTTCACCTGATGGTAAATGGTCACTATCGTCGATGAACGTCTGCAACAATAGCGTCACGTGGATTTGATGACCATAAAAAAGTTGTATTGGACCTCCATTATCTAATTTAACAGACGAAATGCAAAAGTATAGATAATTTAACTTCGCGTCGGTGCTATAAGAGGCTGACTGAACGAGTTATTCGTGCAATAATATAAGCTGCTTCGTTACCCCAGTAATGAGCTATTGAGAATAAAATTAACAAAATTGGGACGGAAATCAAAAACATAAGTAATGTAATAATTCATGGCTATAGTCTTACGATTACTGCAGAAATATATACTATATAGAATTCCCAAGATAAAATTGTATTCCTAATAATAATAAGTAACTTTGGTCCTTATACAAATTCTTATGCGATATCAATTCTAAACAATACGAAACGTTAAGGCTCAAGGGTATAATATGTAGGTTATAAGAGATTAATAACACAGCCCAGGATCTTTTTAAACGAGCACGTTTGTTAACTGTCGGAGCCTGAGATATAGCAGAAAATATGCTAATCTTAACTTACTTATCGTAAAACTTTTTTCCTCTGCCTACGACTCTTGTTGAGGAGTGTTAATGTATATGTATGAAGGTGCTTTGTTTTTTCGTGCGTGCTTACCTAAAAAATGAGTGAGGACCTTTGGCGCCATGACGTAATTCGATTTATTGCGCGGCATTGCATATAAAGTGCGCATAGAAACTAAACCTGCAAAACATAACTTAGCGCCGTGTTAATTCTTCGAGCTGTGTTACATTCAAAGAAACGGCACATTTGTAAACTGAGCTAGCTCTAAAGCTAATAATAGTAATGTGTTCGAAGTGTTGTAGTTAAATTGGCAATGGTATTGAAATTACTTAAAAAATAGATATATTTGTTCTTAGATAACACGTAGAAATTTATATAAATTGTATTGCATATCTTTGAACTTTTATTTGTGATATAATAATCTAAAAGTCGTGGTATTCAAAAGGTTAAAACATTACGAAACATGACCAAAAGAAAAGAATAAAAAAAGCAAGCAATTAATCTATAGTATTATTTAACTACTATAGTAATGTATTGCGATGCCACAATAAATTCTTTAGCAACAGATGAGTTTATCGGAAATGATGTAGCGACGATTTTTTTTATATAAATATTAGAATTGCAAAAGATAATTAAAAATTAGTTCTTGAATTATTTAACATTTTTATTTCTATACTAAAAGTAATAGATTAATAAATAATGAATGTATGTACATACATAATACATATATATACTTTAGAAGCTGTAAAAATTTGGTTTATAAGTTAGAAGTTTCCTTTTTGTCGGTAAACAATAAAAATGTAAGACATTTTACTTAGTCGTTGATTTAATACCACGATTAAATTGGAATATTAAATATATTGTATATACATAAGATATTCTTGCAATAATAGAATCACATAAACTACACATCTTAATGGCGTTATTATACTGCAAGATATTAAAGATATAATTAAAAGAAAAATTAAACCACCCCGCTAAATCATTGAAACGATATTTTTGTTTATACTTATTTTCTCATTACGCATGTCCATATCAAAATATTTATATAGTCCATATCAAATTATTTATATATAAGGACATTAAGATTTTAAGATTTCGGTAAATAAAACCCCGTAGAATTAACTAATCAAAAAAGATTCCTCAAAAGGATCTTCGCAGCGTTCCTGTTTTAATTTTTGTAAATTTTGAATTGAACAAACATTTCCAGTGGATAAATAGTCCTTTTTTTTAATTAGAAAGGATAATTTAAATAAAATTGCTTACCTTCGTAAACCTCCATAACGAATATAGACACACAATCAAGTTTCTGAAAACGTTTCTATGACGACGCATGACAGGACCTCTAGTTGGATTCCAATTAGTATAATCTGTTAACTGTTCAATAGAACAGATGTTAAACATAAAACACAATGTTGTAACATTATAAATAGCTAGTTCAAACTTACAAATATTAAGAATCACAAAAATGAAGTGTTTTAACTTTTTATGTAGGTTCCTTAATTACGAACGAAATAAATTTAAAGTAAATTATCCTTCCGTTATAATATTTAAACAAGTAATACAAGTGAATTAGTCACAGTGTGACATACAATGAACAAGTAATTGCATTTGTAATTTTTATTAAGTCCAAAACAAGTTTTTGTACAATGCCGCTCATGCTAGAGATGTACTTTTATATCTTTATAATCAAAAAGACATATTTAATTTCTTACAATCGTTAAGTTTTTTTTTTCTTAGAAATTCTTCAATAGGTTAGAATTTTTTAATATTTTATCCGTGTGGTAGTATTTAACAGTTCCGAGTGATCAACTGATCATCATTAGTAGTAGATAATAGCTCCCTTTACGGTTATTTAATCGATTAATGTAGTTGTAAAATAAATACTCTTGAACTTTAAAAATCATTATTGTCAGCATCGTTAAACATGATGATTTTTTTTATATACATTCTTTAATTTACGATTTATTTTCCATATTACATTTACTCATTGTCAGAATGACGATAACCGAAATAAAGTTTATGCTCGCGTCTTATGAAAACGCTGTTTTATTTGAGCTTTTTTGTACAAATTACAAACTGTACAACTATTCTATAAAATATTTGTAGTTGCATAAATGTAATAAAATACAAAAAATCTAACAAAAGGTTAATATAAATAAAAATTGTGATATTGTTTTTATATTTTCATTTAAACAAACTTTCATATTTATATGAATTTAAACAAATGTATAATAAAGTATGTAATTAAATTTAATAAGTTATAAAAAGTTTAAAGAAACCGAAAATTTTAAACCGGTAATAGAACCGTAGATAGCCGCGTTGAGCGTATTGACGTATCGTTGAATCGTTTTCGTTTCGTTGTTTATAGATCACTCAACTAAATTAGGTATTATTTTCGCTCCACAACAAGAGATTACGACAAAGCAATTTTGTTGGCTACTTTTCGTAAAAGTTAGAATTGTCTAAAATATTTGATTTATCCATAATGGGACTGACTATATCTACTGTATTCACTAAACTTTTTGGCAAGAAACAAATGCGTATTTTAATGGGTGAGTCGTGTGACAGCTCATCGTTTTAAGATTACGTAGAAATTTTCCCAAATCTTAAGCAAGTGTGAAATATTACTAAAACTTTAATTACTTATTAACGTGGTTATTGTGTTTTTCTTACAGTTGGGTTAGATGCTGCCGGAAAGACTACAATACTTTATAAATTAAAACTTGGTGAGATTGTTACTACAATACCGACTATTGGTTTTAACGTAGAAACCGTGGAGTACAAAAACATCAGTTTCACTGTCTGGGATGTCGGCGGTCAAGACAAAATAAGACCACTTTGGCGTCATTATTATCAAAACACCCAAGGACTGATATTCGTAGTTGATTCAAGCGACACTAAAAGAATTGTAGAAGCTGAAAATGAGCTGGCCAATATGGTCTGTTTTGTTCTATACTACTTATTCAAATTGTTCTAAGTTTTATTAATAATCAATTAATTATTAATTATATTTTAGTTAAAGGAGGATGAACTTAAGGATGCTGTTATCTTGGTCTTCGCAAACAAGCAAGACATGCCCAATGCCATGACAGCTGCTGAATTAACAAATGCTTTAAATTTAAATAATCTGAGAAACCGTCGTGTAAGTATATTAAACCAATCTTTGAATATTCATTTTATTAAGATACAATTAACAATTGCATCATTATTTCCAGTGGTACATTCAAGCAACTTGTGCAACACAAGGACAAGGACTGTATGAAGGATTAGACTGGCTTTCCAATGAATTGGCTAAGAAGTGAGATAAATGTTTGTCCAGTCTCTGGGAACTCAAATATGTAACATTCCCAAAAGGGCTTAAATCCTTTCCATATTGTGAATGCAATTCAAATTATGTTGAATGCAAAAGACTACTTATATGTAATTTATTATGTACTGTTTATTGGTCTTTTCCTACGGAATAATGGTTTTCTATTGTGAATATTAAATTTAAATTAAAAAAAATATATTTAAATATATAGCAGTGAACTACAAATTCAAAATTTTCCTAATTATATGTCGTTATGTATGGGGCAGCACAAAAACAAAACAGCAATTAATCTCAAAATATTAGTTAATTTGATTACAATAAAACACTTTTCTTGTAAGACTTATCACAAGATAAAGTTTGTATTGATTAGCTTTTTGTGGAAAAGACCTCGAAACATAATTATTTAAGAATAATTTGCTAAAAGTAATTTTTATAATAATGTTTTAGTAGCAATTAAAATTTCAGATTATTGTTTAGTGATTTCCTAATATTTGCAACTTGTAACTTCAAAAGAGCGCAAAAAAAGATTTTTACAAAACGAAAATCTTTTAAAGGAAAAATTATTTAGTTCTATTTCATATTATTAATTTGGTTTTTAAATATGATCAAGATTATGTCTTCAATAGTAATCGGTATTACAATGTGATCAACTTATTAGATTTTTAACAAAAACATAAGCGCTTGCACTTTTTGTAACCAATACTACCTTAATAGAGACAATAAATAGTTTTCAGTGTCTTATGTAAACAGTTAATATTGTTTCTACATAGTTTATGCAGGCTTTTAATTTAACATTACTTTTTGGGAGTAATAAAATATGCAAAATTATTTTGTTAGAACCTGTGTTCTGATTTAATCTTTGCAATATGGGTAATGTAAATTTTATGTCCTTTTGGCCAAAAACTAATAATTTATTATTATTATGTAAAATGATTTTGCATGTCTTGCTTTGAGACTCCTATTATAACATATTGGAGATGTATTCAAGTGGCAAATAAAACATAGGTGTAAATACTTAATTCTTTTTTACAAAATTTTACCTCTACTTATCAGTTAAATCCAGTAATTTATACCCAATTGCACACTACACAGATTATTTATAGTGATTGTGCATGTACATTTATTCATGGCTCCATTGAGCTTTTGTTTTCTCAACAAAACTCCTAATACCCTCTTGTCCATCATCCATGTTAATATTGTTCACCATTATTTCTTCGCCTAAATTATATGCGTCGAAGAGACCTAATTGAATTTGTTTATAAAAAAAATGTTTTCCCAAAGAGATCACTGAGCGACTTTTCTGTTTTATTTGTTCAATTATCTTTGAAACTTCTTCATCAAGTTTCTCAACTGGTACTACTTTTGTGACAAGCCCGCTTTCATAAGCTTCTTGGGCAGAAATAGGTTGACCTGTAACAAACAGAAATATGTTTGTTATATTTCGATAATGGTTTAAGTGAACAAATAATTACACATTGACTTACCTGTCAATAACATGTACATTGCTCTAGATTTAGGCATTGATCTTCCAATAGTTATACCTGGTGTAGAGCAAAATATTCCAAAATTGGCCCTAAATGCAAACAAATTATTCTTGTACTAAACAAAACTTATAATTATAAAAATAAAATTGAAATTCTGATGATGAAGTTATTACCCAGGTGTAGAAAATTTACTTATATTTGAACATACAATCATATCACATGAAGCTGCTAATTGGCATCCAGCAGCGGCGGCAAAACCATTAACCTGCAATTAAAAACATTATTTTGATAAGCACTTTATGGATAAGCAAGCATTACTTTATAGTTTCATGTTAAAAAAAATTACAAAAATATAAAAAACTGTATAAAGGCTACTTTTATATTTTTTGTGCTATTACAGTTGCCTTTTCATAGTTTGTATTATTAATATTTTGCAACCACATTGCATCATCATAATTATGTGGTTACTCACAAGATCACTTTTGATATTTAATATGCAATAGGGCTTTTGATAGCACTTGTTTATATTTATATGAAGGTAAAATATGTTTGTGTGTAGTGGGTTGTTTGCAGTGGTCTTCAAAAGACTGAACTTATTTAAAAAAAAATCACAAAAATTTATACAATATGAAAATACTACATTGTATTTTATAAGAAATGTGTTTTGGCAAAAAATTTCAATTTGTTAAGTTGTTTAAGGAATTGAAAGACAGCAAGGCCTTGCAATCATTTGGAACTACTATTATGTTAAAAAAAAATACAATAGCTTAGTTCGCTACAATTGCCTAAAAGATAAAAAAACATGAAAGATAAAAAGTTTTCCATTAACACATCTGTTTAATGTGGCAAACATTTTTTACATTGGTCTATCCAGGCCAATCTATTGTTGAAAATTGTATTTAGATTTTCAACCAAACTATATGCATATTTGTTTTTTGGCAAGTAATTGCATTTCATTATCTTTAATAATAAGATTATTATGTAGATTTTAAAAATATGTTGCATTAAAAATGAAAGTATGTCAAAATAAAATTGGCAAAAAAAAGAATTACTTTGATGTTAAAAAAAGAACAAGATACTTCATTTTATTACATTGCTGTAAATAGAACAAAATATTCGGATTGTATTTAAAAAGTTTTGTTTGATGTAAGTTGATAAAAATAGCTTAGTGATAGTATACAAGCTGTGAGAGCTCAGTGTCTGGGCGCTCACCTTTAATTAATATACTTGGCAACCTAAGTTAGATCTCGAGTGCCAGCACCAATGAAATTGTTAATTTTAAGTGCTGACATCACATGCTTGGTGGTGAAGGAAAACATCGTGAGGAAACCTGCATGTTAAATCGAAATAATCACAAAACAAAAATATTCCTAGATATGTGAAGTCAGCCAATCCGCAGTAGGGTTGTGTGCTGGGCTATGCTCTAATACCCTCTGTACAGTGTAGGTCTTTGCCAAGCAGAGGGATATGTATAGGCTGTTTCTTTTCTTTACTATTTAATAAAAAAATTACCTTAGCAATAACTGGAACTGGACTTTGAATTATTGACTGCATGAGTTCAGTAGCTTTTTTAAAAATTAGTCTATGATGATCTACTCCATTATCACTTTGCTGTAAAAAGTTGAGTGGGATGACAACATGAGTTACATAGCACGAAATATGATAGGTAATGTAGGTCCTAAAGGTCCTATGTTTACAAACACAAACTAATCAGAGTCTGTATGATATATAAATAATTGGTGTGTCTGAATCAAACCCTTGGGTTTGACTTTAACTGGCACCACCGGTCTTGACCTACTGTCATATATAAAATAATCTTACTTACTAATTCTTTTAAATTATGTCCTGCAGAAAAGACATTACCCTTTGCTGATAATACAATAGCTCGTAAGGATATGTCTTCCTTATTTGCATTTATGGCTTCTAAAAGGTGGTTCATCATATTCAATGACAGGGAGTTTCTGTGCGTAATGAAAAAAAAATTAGAAAGTTATTAATATTTTTAAGACTTTTTTTTGAAAATACTAACTTTGTTTTCTCGTGGTTTAAAACAATCTCTCTAGTTCCCTTAGATTCAATGGTAATAAGGTATTGATGAGATTTTCGTACGGACACAATAATTGGTTGATAACATTTCTGTAAAAAAATACAGGTACTTGTAGTATTTTTTTAATGATTTGGCTAGTTCTTACAATAATGAAACTTTTTATAGGTATATCCTTGTTTGTACCTGTAGTGTTAAAAACATAGTGTTTTTACTTTCTTCAAATTAATTCTATAGGTAAAATTTCAATAGTAAGAAAACAGATATACTAATACTATACAGTTATTTACAAAACAGTTTCTATTTCATGCGTGTCAACTGTCAGTGTCAATGTGAAATAGAATCCAATTGCCATAACAAAAAATAAAACGGCATCAGCTTAAATAAGAAAAAAAAAAGTTTTTTTGGACAAGTTAGAATTTTCTGTGTGAATCGCCATCTGACGTATCAGACTCCGAAAAATCGTGATCCAGGTAGTCGGCTCGTTCATCTTCGGCCGTTATGAGTTTGGTAACAGCGCTGAAAAAGAAACAACCCCATTGAATTGTATTTAAATATACCTTTCCTGATGTGTTGCAATTTATTTTTTCAGTAGCTGATATCCGCGACTTCGTCTACGTTGCTTATTATAATGACAATGTATTTTATGTGGACAGAAGAAGAAATCAAAAAGAACGGTAGCAAAACTGTGTATTATACATAATAAAAATATATATTATAAGTAAAATTAAGGCAGAGGTAGAAGAGTACGGCAAGAAAACACGTAGTGCATAAAAAATTGTTATTTCTTAAAATATTAGTAACTACTTTTAATGAAGGCATAAAAATATTTTTTAAATGTGTCTAAGAAATAAAACTTAGAAGAATTCATTCAAATTCATTCATCTATAGGCAGACCACTATCATTTAACATAATATATAGAATATCTCTTATAGCTTTTTATATAGTTACATTTATTATCATATACATATAACTATATAAAGCTCACATAATTTGTATAAATAAAGTATATGTAACCTTTATATAGTTACATTTATTATCATATACATATAACTATATAAAGCTCACATAATTTGTATAAATAAACTATATGTAACCTTACCAAATCTGTCCTAATCATTTAAATAGAAATGGAGAAATTGAATTTTTTTTGCAATCACTTTCTCGCTTCAATGAAAAATAGCTGCCTATTGAATGAATAACTATGTTCATAGCATATGATCACTGAGGCGAGAAAAATTAAATCCAAGCTCTATCCAAGGATCGATACTACAGAAACGCTTTCTTAAGTTGTGCCTTGAAATATTTTGTTTATCAAGGAATGTTATAATATAGGGAGAAAACACCTACAGTGTTTATTCGGAGTCCGGTGTACTCTGGCCTTTAATAATCAACAGGAGATAAACTTTATATCAACGAGCCAATCAATCTCATATATCCATGGGCAATGTTAACATCAAGTGAACCTCCGGCTGCCAACTTTTCACGTAAAAAATAAATAAATAAGCAAATGCAAGCAACTCACTTTATTACTTCCTCCTCGAACTCGCTATGATGATTCGAATTTTGGGTAGAGGTCACCTTGGAAGCTAGGACAAAGTCCAACAATGTTCTAAGTTTACACAGTAGATCGGCGGTCTCTCTTTTACATCTTACCTTTATTGTCTTTGTCGATAAGAAACATTCTTCAGGATTGTCATGTTCCACTAAAAAGAACATTTCATTTATTCCAAAAAATTATGACTAAATGTTATCTGCGGTGAGTTTTAGCCATTTTTTTTATTGTCTTTCGTTTGTTAGTTAAACACTCATTACAAAAATAATACATACACAGTGTTGAAAGGTGCTTAATCAAATAAAAAAAAACTACCCTCACCATCGCTAAATATGAATTCGCCGAAGAACAGCAGTGGTAATGTATATATCAAAGTGACATCAAACAGGAACAAGTTAGTGGAACGCTGTTTCAACCAGTAAACTAGCCAATTGGCGCCCACGTTGGTGCAGAAGTTGACCCTCGGACCGGAGCCCTTGTTGTGTTTCGGTGGCGCCATAACGCTACTGGGGTGCAGAGATGTTCTGCCCTCTTCGGGCGTGAACACCGATATCCTCGCTGATTTATTTGGATTAGCCATGTTTGTGTTCATCCACCTAAAAAAAAGTTAATCATATGAGCTGAAATGTAAAAGGTGTACTTAACACCTTTTACATTTCAGCTCAAATTCTCATAATGTATATTGTGTATGTATGTATAATTATATATGTTTCTAACTGTGGTGAGTTACAAATTCCAGTTTTGCTTTAACAGTTGTAAAGTACTTAAAAGTAACAGCCTATACATGTCCCACTGCTGGGCAAAGGCCTATAGAGGAATACAGAGGGTATCAGGGCATAGTCCACCACGCGGCCCCACTGCGGATTGGCGGACTTCACATATCTTCGAAATATATATTTTTTCTTATTATTTCGAAAATATGCAGGTTTTTTCTTCACCGCGGAGCACGTGATAAGTCAGCACTTAAAGTTAAAAACTTCATTGGTGCCCGCACTGGGGATCGAACTCAGGTTGATCGAATATATTGAATTAAAGGCGAGCGCCCGAACACTGAGCTATCACGGCTCAAAGTATTATACTCCTGTAGTTTTTCTGCAGAGTGAAGACATCAATTAGAGAAGTAACCTTCATCTTCTTAAAGGTTGACAAAGCATCTGAAACAGCATGGCTGTTGTGGATGATTATGGGTGGTGATTATCACTTAACATAACCCCCCACATATTTGCCCTGTTCAATGAAAATAAACAGATAGCTGATACCTGCGACTTTGCATGACTTATTATTACACTAAAAAACAATGTAGATAAAAGTCGTTGAAATTTTCGTGGGAATCTGCCTTTAGGTTAGTTGCTAAAGCGTCAGGGCGCGAATCCCGAACACGTGGATTCCATTCCCAAGGCGACGGAAAATCTTTCTCTACAAATTTTAATGTGCAAATGTGAAAATCCAAAGTGCAGAGATTAGTACTCCAAAATTTAAAATTAGCGGAAGTAATTGAAATTGTGTGTGGTTCTTCCGTGTTGCACTCAAAGAGGCAAACCTCTATCATTTTAATTATATTCATAATTTCTGACTTCGTCTGTACAGAATTAGTACTTCAAGTAGCTTATTAGCAACTAAATAAAAGCAAGCAAATAGGAGCTTTACACTCACTTATTGATAGTGTATTATCATTTAAATAATCATAAATATTGTAATAGCCTTTAACACACAAACATTCTTTTACGACTTTTTTAAATTTAGATATTGATGCATTTAGAACGTTCTTCGTTGTAGAAACGTATACATTATCCCACTTGTGGGTAGGAACAATTTGTTTTTTCCTAGTATTTATATCATGAACAATACTATGTCTTGAAAATTCATCAGCTGTTGGTTATGCTGTTTAGTTGTGAAGGCGTAACAGAAAGACAGAGATACTTTGAGAGACCCGTTTATCTTTATAAATTATAGCTTATGATATTTTATTATATTCTGATGTATAAGCGTATATTATTGGAAAGTTTCATTAAAATCCATTCAGTTGTTTTTGTGCGAAAGAGTAACAGGCATCCATACATCCGTACATATACCTTCGCGTTTATAATATTAGTAACGATTAGTACATTCCTACGATATTTTGTAGTAAACTTACTTGACCGAAGCTATATTGGGGTACAAGGAGGCGGCCACAAGGGCTTTGAAGAGGCTGAGGTTGTTTGCGTTTCGATTCTCCCAATTGGACCTGACGTCACCCGAAGCGAGGAACCCCATCTGCTTCAGATTGTTGCCCAGCTGCCTCTTCATGTCCGCTAGCAGCTCCAGCGTGCTGTTCGACAGGAAGTGCTCGTAGGCGAAGGCACGCTTCTCTTTCCACGACCTGCATTGCTCCCATTGCAGTATCGCCTCGGAGATAGCGACGTGGTCGCTGGGCTCGCCCAATGTGAGGCTGCGCTTTGCCGCGTCTACCTCTTTCTCTTTACCTAATATAGAAACTGGTTAGTTAGGATCAATCAAATTATAAAAACAAAATAGCTAAAGGGCCGTTCACTATTTATATATTTACTAACGTGAAAATTTTCAATTTATTGTTTAGGCATTATTAATTCTTTATAACGAAATTACAATAAATAAACAAATAAACTATCTGGCTCGCACACGCTTTTATATACAGCGTGTCTTTACAATCGTGACAATAAATGAACACACTTAAGGGGATAACTTTTTAAAATTGTATTAAACATTTACATTCTTTAAACATCAATATTTACAGAGTTATTAAATTTTTCTAAACAAGGAATTTTAAAACACCCTTACGTAAAGTTTATTTGTAAAGGTCACAAACCATATGAATGGGTTGAATGAATTTAAAAGAGACAAAACATACTGTTAGAAAGAGAGGCTTGTAATGCGACGCTGTGGCAACGAATGAAAAAGTCTCTGAATGTATGAATCAGTCAGTGGTAGTTGTATAGGATGTTACAAATTTCGTTTCTTTTTTACTTAATTAGTTTGTTGGAAAAATATTTTTTTTATGGATTTTGTTTAAGGTTAATATTTTTTATAACTATTGGCAAGTAGCGTTAGACGCGTGTTCATTTATTGTCGTGATGGTAACGACACGCTGTATATTGCTTACTCAAACTAAAAATCCGGCAACGCATTTGTTAGCCCTCAGATCAAGATGTTGCAGATTTGCATGTGCGGCGGTGATCATTTATCATCAGGTGAACCTCCTGATCGTGTTTTTCATATTAAAACCTACTTTTAATTGGTCTGACGAGATGTAAGAACTATCGAAACCGTCTAGCTGCTGAGGAAACATCTTATGTTAGTTCCCCAACTAACAAATAAAATTCAGCTTTTATTATATAACGAGGGTTGAATTATATTCCATAACGAAGGTAGAAATATAAGGGAAAGGTATGGCTGTCGCTGGTACATGCTCTATAAATGTTAAGTATACATCAGAGTGTTGCGGTGGCGCTAGTGTGCTGGACAATACCCGATTTTTAGTCGACTTCGGATATTTTTACTCCGACAAGATATATTATACAGAACAGTTACCGCTTTACAAAATTAAAGTGGTAAAGATACATCCGAGAAAGTTACATTCGAGATAGCACTTAACGATTTAATTGGTGGGTAAGAGGGTGGCTGTACGGACTTTCATTGAAAGCTCTCTTTTTTTCTCCTGCCCTTATCCCGACTAGGTTTTACACAATATGTGAATCACGTTGTCACTAGTTTCCGGACCTGCCGCCCGCCCCCTTGGGACCGTTCCCTAGTGGGAATCGAACCCACGACACCCGGCAATTAAGCCAATGACTCAGCAACTTCCTGTTATCTGTCACGAGTCTGTTTACTGAAAATTTAAACAGTCAACATTTTAACGCGGAGCTTTACACTCCAGAAGGAAAATAAGATCCTCATTGTTCTTATTTTCCTTCCAAAGTGGATTTGACCAACATAGCATAGCTAGCATTAGACAACAAGAGTGGGTAGTGAACCTGCCTCTTGCGTCAGAGGGTGTGTGTTCGATCCCCACTACTGGGAAAATATTGTGTGATGAACATAGTGTTTTTTCGGTATCTGGGTGTTTACTTATGCGTAATATGTCGCACCTTTAGAATTATAGTGACTTATTTAAAAATATCAATTTTTGGGAAACGTAAAATAAGGATTTATGGAACTTATGAACAAACTCGCTAATTCGGGGGGGAGTGAAAAAGACAGAAGTATACGTTATGTAGCTTTCTTAAATCGGCCCATGTTTTAATAGGATTCGAAAAAGGTGGTCGTTTTAGGTCGTTTCCTGACATAAAGCCAAAGTCATGATTTTCATAATTAGGTCCCTTTAATTCTAAAGGTGCGATGTATTTATTTACAAAACAAAAGTATGTTCAAGTATGTTTAACAGTTATCTAGTTAGTACGCAGAATACAAGCGTCGCTTAGTTTGGGACTAGAATGTTGTTTAAAAATGTGCCCTAAAATATTATAGGCTTGCAGAACCAACAACCCTCGGACGGACGACCCAATGACGGCTCACCGATGACCAGCTGGAAGGGGTCCTTGAAGCTCCAGACGGCGGCCACGCTGGCGGCGCGGTCCAGGCAGCCGAAGAGTGTGGCCAGGAGGAGTAGCTTCCCGGCTGCCGGGTGCACTGGCAGCCGCGCCAAGTGCCAGCCCAGCGGCGTCAGCGTCTCGCGCACGTCCAACGCGCCGCACCTTAATAGGCGAGATTTTGATGAACATTCATCTTCTTCACTTTCTTTTCTATCCCTTCTGTCTGCAAAATTTGCTAAACGGTAACAAAGGTGATTAAAAACTACGGAAAATACTTAAGGCCACGAATGCCGTTTTCACCATCAAACCTTTTTTTTTTTTTTTTTAGTATCGGGGGGAAATCTTCAAAAGATACCCTGTCACTTTACATGACAGGGTTATGTGGGGTTCTTACCCACTAAAACCCCCTCGGTGGCCACCTTCTGTACATTTGGAGGGACTCCGGGATCTCCCATGGAACGCACCGGTGTCCCTCGGTACTACGCCTAAGCACGCCTCGGAGAAGGATAAACCTTCTCCAATCCCCTCATCCTCTTACAGCAACACGAGACCACTTCGTGCTGCTGCCCATCCGTGTCCCCTTTTAGTCGCCTTTTACGACAGGCAGGGGATACCTTAGCCCTATTCTATAAGCCCGGGACTACAGGGCTGTCACCATCAAACCCTACTTTAAAGAACACCTGAAAAAATTTAAGTGCACGTTTCGTTTTGACCATTGCTTAAGTGTCACCTAGTCTTAAGTGATGACACTTAAGCGGTGGGGAATGGCGTTAGGACCTTTGTGGTGGAAAAAGATTAATTATTTTGATTTCTTGATTTTACGCGAATATTATCTTAATAAATAAAAATGAATGTTGGTAACCGCTTAACTCAAGAATGGCTGGACCAATTCGGCTCATTTATTTTTTGTATGATCGTTAAGGTCCACGGAAGGTTTTAATACTATAAAAAAAGAACAAAAAATTAAAAAAAAGAGAACGAAGTCTGTCGGGGCAGCTAGTACATAATAAATTAAACTATTTCGAACCCTTTCGTTTGATCCATGACCATTAACGCTGGAAATAGTTATGGCGCGATGTCCGATGGTGAAATTCAGCCGCCGGGATCAATCCAAACAGTTCCTCAGGTAACTTGGTAAAAAGCTAGGTAAGGCTCTAGGTTGATTTGTTATTGTGTATGCAAAGAAGGTAATTTTCTTAACCAAGCAAATATTTCAAAACGAAGTTTCGAAAACCGATTTCTGAGATTTTATTGTAAAAACGTTATATATTGTCCCATTAAAATATTAATTATTCTACGCAATCTAGATGAGCGTAGAGTTAATTTAGGCTTATTCCTAGTATTTATATCATTCACATTACTTAATCTTGAAAATTCTACGTCATACGTAACATTTTCAATTATGTACTGAGAAGCGACAGTCGGAGCCCAAAAATATATCGAAATTTGCTACGTGAATTCCTTACTGTTGCAAATGCTTCACGGCCCAATCCACCGTGGACGGGCAGGGCGGTGAGGGCATTATGCTGAACGCGTCTGCGGCCAATCCCAGCCGCAGCCTCTTCACGCTGAGCACAGGCTCCAGCAATGTGCTCCTCTGCAGCTCGGGCAACAGGCGCTCCTCGAGTTTGGACGCACGGAATGACGTCATCAGGTGGTAGCAAATGC